TTGGTATATAGAGCTCTGACATTGTCTAACATTTGTCCTCTGATGCCATACTTTTCGAGTGTCTTCCCGAGTTTTGCACGGTTTACTCTGTCTAAAGATAATGTTGGATTCTTTGTTGTGTCCGACTGCTTTCTCGCTTATCTATCTGTCTTAATGCGAATACAGCATCCGTGCATCCTCTTGACTTCTGGAACCCAAACTGAGCTTTGCTCAGATTTCTCGCTACAATAGGCCTTATCCGCTGTTCTAGTATCTTTGCGTATATTTTCCCTGCGTGGCTTAATAAAGAGATGTCTCTGTATGTTGTGCAGTCGCGTTTCTTGCCTTTTTTGTTCCATAATAGGACCACTGTGGCTTTCTGCCAGTCATCTGGGGCATTTTTTTTGCTCCCAGGCTCTATTGAAAATTTGCCTCAGCCACAGTATACCTGTGTTTCCACAAGCTCTTATGGCTTCCATCGTGGTGTCATCTGGTCCTGGCGCTTTTGTTCTTGGGGCTGGTTTTGAGTGCCTTTTTTATTTCACTGAGAAGTATGGGTGGTCCTGTTTGCTCTGCATATGATGATTGGAAGTCTTCTTGTTGTCCATAGCAAGCGTCTGGGATGAGTAGTTTTTGGAAGTAATTTTCCCATCTTTTCTTAATGGCATGCTTGCTGAGAGTGGCATTACCCTTTTTATCGTTTATAATGCATGTCGGGTTGTATGGGTCTTTCCTTACCCCCATGCTATTCAGGGGCGAAGCGTCTATATAATCAAATAATAACTGCTTCCCTTCCTAATTTTGAAACATTGTTGCTGTCAAATTCATCCTTAAACGTAAACCTCTTAAATTAAATGTAAAAAGACGTTCGTAATCAACAATGAACAGTATGCCTAACATTCAAAACGGTTTCACGGCCACAGAAATAGCCTGCTCACCCCTCTCGGGCCACTCCATAAGCAGTCACAAGCTTTGATTAAGTAAGCTTAAAGTGAGTCTGGAAGAGTCTACCAATAGAGTTGAAGGGAACATGTACATAGCAGTCCAAGCTGTTTCATTGCCACATATACCCTGTTCACCCCTTTGGGGCCACAGTTATAATCAATCACAAGCCCTGATTAAGTATGCTAACTAATGCTGGTCGAGTCTACCTCACAAATGTGAGGGGAACTAACTCCTAGTAATCTCTTGACTGCTGCGTGTGCTTGTTTTTTTTCCTCGACTTTTTACCGTCCTATAATCAGATCGTGACCTCGATTATGACACCAGCTCCTGGCCGCGAAAGGCTAACAAAAACAGCCAAATGTGAAATTTAAAAAATGATAATTGTCATGTTCTACCAAAGAGTTAGACTTACTGGTAGATCTATAACATATGTATTCACATCTAAAGTTAAATTTAATTTTAGTTGGAACTGATACTTAATAAGATACTTTTCCGATTATTTTGGCGGTTGAACATACAATATGAGTTCCGGATTTGTTTTCATTCACAACTCAGAGTCAGTAAGATTCTTGTGTGATATCTACAGGCCAAATCTGGTCCCGTTTCACTTTGATTACCCTGTCAAACAAGTCAGCCTTCGCCCCTGATGCTATTCACACTTTTATAAAACTCTCTACGGTTTCCCTTACAGATTTTGGTCAGTTTCTCGCCATATATTTTCAATGAATTTTTCTTTAGCAGTTTTGATAATTCTTTTGGTCTCTCTTCTCGCTTTCCTGTATTCTATATAGTCTTCTTCGGTCTTTGACTTCTGCCATTTCTTGAATATCTTCTGTTTCATCAGGTAGCGTAAACACGGCCTTGCGGGCACTTACGGCCTTCCGCGTGGTATCAGTCAGTGAAATCGAGGTAATTCAGATCGCTGTTTCTTTACTCTTTCGCTATAAAATACCAAATGCCGTAAACCTTGTAAAAGCTCAGCTTTTATTGGTTACAATGGTGTAAGTTGTTTATATGTCCGATTATTAGGAGCTGGAGATTCGCCGAGGAAAGCGAAGCCCCTTGTGGCGGAATGCGTGGTTGGCCAGGTCAAAAATTGACACGCGGGCATTCAAATTATGCTTCTCGGAAAGATCATAATCATCATCATCATCCAGTGCCAGATCTGCGACAGACATCGGCGATCATGGTTCTCCATTCATTCCTTTGCTCGGATGATCTAAAAAAAAAAAGCTACGTTTCCCTGCTCTTTCCCTGTTACCCATTTGTTTAGGTTCCCTAAGTATCTTGTTCTGGGCCTACCCGCTTGCCTCGTTTGCTCTGAGTTTTGCCGGTGAGAGCTAGATGGTCAAGACCCTTATGTCTATTCAGGTGTCCCAAAAACTGCATTTGTCGTTTCCTGGTTGTTTTTGACAATGAGCGTCCCACGCGGGCTTCATCAAGTACTACCTCATTTGATTTCTTTTCCTTTCACGATTCTCTTAGCAGTCTCCTAAAAACCACACCTCTGTTGCTTCTATTTTATTTTCACTGTCTTTAGTGATTGTCCAGCATTCACAGCCATATAGAAGGGTTGACCAGACATAGCATTTCAGAACTTTCATTTTGGTGTTTGGGGGCTCCAGTAGCAAAGTGAGTAGTGAGTTTAGACTCAGGCAATGTCAAGCAATTGTGGGTGACACGGGGATCAGATTGGTGGTCACCGGGGTGTGTCCTTGAGCAAGACACGACAACCCTAGCTCAAAATACAGGGCGCTGCACAGTGGCGACCGACAGTGGCATTGTTGTAAACTGTTCTGTATTTGTGTAATAGTATGTATTTATGCATGTATGTATTTATGTATGTACGTACTTATAATTATGTATTTATGTATGTATGTTTGCCATTGTAAAAAAAAGTGGCCTTTTGGGACAAATAAAAGTGTAATTTATTATTTTTATCATTGAGATGTTTTTATTTTTCAGGATTGGGCTAATTTTATTGAAACTAGCTTTAGCCATTGTAATTCTCCGTTTTATTTCTGAGGAACATTTGGCCTCAGATGTTATCATATATCCTAGATATTTAAACTGTTTGACTTTTTTTTTATCTTTTCACCTTTGCTAATGAGATAACAACTAGGATTTGCTGGGTTTTTTATATTACCAAGCATTCTGTTTTCTTTACATTCAACACTAATCCTTTATGTTCACTTTCTGCTACAACAGTATCAAGAAGCCATTGAAGGTCCTTTTCTGAGCCTGCTAATAAAACTGTGTCATCTGCATACCTGGTGTTATTAATTTTACTGTGAGACTTCTACATTCTTCTATATTTCTAAGGATTGTTTCACTGGTGGAAAAAGAGATCTGGTGACATAACACATCCTTGCCTCACTCCTCACCTAATCTGCTTATATTCACTGTATTATCCATTAATTCGTACAGCAGCATTTTGGTCCCAGTACAAATTTTTGATAATTCTTAGATCTTTTCCATCTATGTCTAGCTTTTCCAGTATTTTAAATACCTCATCATGTCTAACTTTATCGAACGCCTTTGAATAATCTATGAAGCATAAATACAGATCTTTCTGTGCTTCAATACATCTTTCCATTAACATTGTTAAGGTGAATATAGCATTTCTGGTGCCCTTGTCAGGAACAAAGCCGAATCACGTTTTAGATACATGTATCTCTGGTCTTGCACTTTTTCTCAATCTTCCCATTATTACTCGCAGCAATATTTTTGTAAAATTACTCATAAGGCTAATTATCACACACAGTGGCACCTGGTGTTTTAGGTAAAGCTATAAAAACTGACTTCATCATATCTTCTGGGATCTCACCGCTGTCGTAAATAGCATTTAGGAGCTTTGTTGTTATTTCAATGCCTAGTTCTTCAAGTGCAACAATCACTTCAACTGGAATATTATCTGGCCCTGTGCCTTTTCCTTGTTTCATTTTCCTAATGGCAGCTTGTACTTCTGCTTTCAGTATTGGTGGTCCATTTATTTCATTCTTTATTGCCGGTTTTTCTCTTCTATTATCTTTGAAAAGTTCTTCTATGTATTCTGACCATCTGTTTAAGACATCCCCATTGTCCATTAAAATACTTTCTCCTTTTGATCTTATGCATTCTGTATTTGAGCATCCTTTCATCCCACTTACTTCTTTGATTTTGGAAAGCACGTATTTGCTGTCTTTGTTTTGGTTCTTCTCTATTTGTTGGCACTGATCCTTTATCCATGTTTCTTTTGCTTCGTTGCATTTTTTCTTGATTTCCCTGTTTAAGATGTACTTTTCCACATTTGATTTTGCCTTTCTTCTCTCTTTCATTAGTTTTAATATGTCCTTGGTCATCCATTTTTTATTTGCTTTTTTTAGCCTGGGGGGGGGGGGGGGGTATTTTCTTCCACAGCTTCAATTATTGAGTCTTTCATTTTCCTCCGTAGTTCTTCCGATTTAGTAATGTTTTCCAAAGCTTGAAATATAATGCTTACATCTATGGAGAAATGTTCTTTCAGTTCTTGATTTGTCTTTAAAAGACCTTTGTCAAATTGTGGCTGGTACTTTGACTTTTTAAGTTTATTCAGTCTTATTCGCATTTTACACATGACTGGTACATGGTCACTATCACAGTCTGCTTCTGGCAGTGATTTAGACGGTCTAATTGTATTTCTAAAACCTTTTTCAATCCGCGACCCCCTTTTGATTTTTGACAAGTGGAACGACCCCTCATACCCCAACCCCCTACAAATCGAGAAAAATGAGAGACCACCCACACACAGACACACACACACACACACACACACATACACACACACACACACACTCACTCTCTCTCTCACACACACACACACACACACACACAGAGAGAGAGAGAGAGAGACACACTCACACTCACACAGACACACACAAACACACACACGCACATGCACACGCTCTCCCACACAGATTTAAAGAAGAAAAAATAGGGAGAGGGCAATGCCTGTAGTTCAGCGATCAGTCTTGAAATTCTCGGAGAAGTCTTGGATAAAGCACATCCAGATCCAGCTTGTTCCTTGCTTTGGCCAGGAGTTGGACAAGGGTAGAAAATCAACTTTCGCAAAGGTAAGTCGAGGCAAATGGGACAATGAGTCGAAGTGCTCTTTTGCAGACCTGGGGGTATAATTCCTGGAGTGAACACCAAAACTGTGCAAGACATTTCTCAAGAAACGTGTCGCGTGCTGGCCTCAATTCCAAAAGCTCGTCTTCAATGTCATCTGCAATAACAGTGATGTCTAATCCAGGAGTGAAAGGGTTTCTCACAAAAGCTTCTTCACCACAGTTAAGGTCAGGAAAATAGTTCTTGAACTCATTTTCAGGTGATTTCCACATGTCAACTTGAAGATCAGCAGACAAGGCCTCCAGTGGATTTAGCCGCTGCGAAAGGTTGGTAGACATAGCAATGTTTCCCTCTGTAACTTTCCAGTGCCAATTCTGAACTTTTGAAAGGAGGCCACTCAGAATGTGTTTAATCTGTAGAACGTGTGTCTGCTGACCTTGAAGTTTCAAGTTGAGTTTGTTGAGGGAGTCAAACATATCAGACATATATATATATATATATATATATATAGGCAAGTCTTTGGATCCACGAATCATTTGAGAAGTGCCTGCTGAGCTCATCTTTTCCTTGCACTTCCTGGAATAATTTGATCTACTCTCTCAGCTCGAAGACCCGACATACAACGTTTCCTTTCGATAACTATCGAACTTGAGTGTAGAAAAGTAGTGTTTCATGATCTGCACTCATGTCAGAACAGACTTCCTTGAACAGTCACGTATTTAGGGGGCTGCGTTTCACATAGTTGGCAATCTTAACAGTCGATTCCAACGTTTCTTTCGAAGTGGGATTGAGAATCTTGCAAGCTAGTGCATATTTATGTATCATGCAGTGAATGCCTTTTGCGTCTGGTGCTTTGTCCTTCCCTTTTGCCTGAAAGCCCGACTTACATCCAGTCACGGCTGGGGCACCATCAGTACAAATACTACACACATTCTTCCACTCAAGACCCTCGTTTAAAAAAAATGAGGACACCTTGTTCATGACATCATCAACTGTTGTTGTGGTGTACATTGGGGTGCAAAATAAAAATTCTTCTTTCGCATCTTTTCTAACACGTATCTCACAAAGACCAGTAACTGTGAGCACGCTGCCACATCAACTGGAACCAGAACATAGTGACAGGAACAAGAACATTGGGACAGCTTTGATCTCCTCTACAACATGTTCCTTAATTTTTGAAGACATGCGTGCAATACGCCTCTTGACACTATCATTTCAAAGGGGAACTTGCTGCAATTTCTTTGCATTAGCCTCACCTAACATCAGCTGTGCCATCTTTTTTTAGCAAAGCTTTATAAGTGTTTCTCCAATTGTGTGTGGTTTCTTTTGTTTTGTTCTCTCTCTCTCTCTCTCTCTCTCTCTCTCTCTCTCTCTCTCTCTCTCTCTTTCTCTCTCTCTCTCTCTCTCTCTCTCTCTGCGTAAGTACCCAAATTTAACTCGGGCGAGACAGGTCTGGATGAAAATATGCATGGCTACCTTGCTTTCCACTGTGACCGCTTTCTCCGAGGCCAGCACTAGCACTCATGTAGCTCATCATATATGAGGCTTCAAGCTACATGTATTGTCGGTTGGCTTATGTCGAGGCTATATTATACATTGAAAGAAAGGAAAACACTGCAAACCAAATCTATGATTGGCCCACATAAACAGGCAGGGCAAACTGGTGTAGCCTTGTTGTTTCTTGAGAATTGTTTAGATTCTAGGTAGACCCCAGTTGGAGACTACGTAATCATTGTGGCTAGGTGCTCCCCAAAAATGTTGGATTGTGACCTCTGAACCCTGGTTGAATTTTTTAAGGAAGTAATAGGCTAGGCAATGCAAAAAAATTAAAAGTCTAGACATATATCTCAAAACAGAAATGAATAATTCTCGCAGTGCTTGAAGCGGAAACGGACTTGTTAAAAAAGATGTAATTAATGGAGAAAAGAACGCATAACTTGTGGAACAATCAGAAACAAAAAATTAGAAAGAAGAAGAATTTGAACTTATATTTATTAAGGCCTACATGTACCATGTGCACTCTTCAACTACCGGTAATACACCCTGGAGTTTTAGGCAACCGAAAATAGACTAGTGGGCTCCCTACGCATAAAGTGTGTCCACAAAGTAAAGTCTTGCCATTGCACTGTGGATTATTTTTTCCCTATTTTATTGTAGTTTCAAAACACAGCAAGTGTGCATCAGTACTGTAGACGTGTTCACATTGTAACCAAGTCCAAGCAAAACAATGGGTAATAAACATACTAAAATAAAGAAAAATAGGTCACAATGCAATGTCAGGACTTTATGGACGCACTGTATAGGCTTACTAGAAAAATCTCTAATCTAAATAGATCTAGAGTACACGAGGTTGCGATGAATAGATCTAGCACATGTACAAGCAACGATCTCTAATCTAAATAGACAGGGGTTGCTTAGATCTAGAGTCCACGAGGTTGCGATGAATAGGACTTGCACATGTACAAGAAACGATCTCTAATCTAAATAGACAGAGGTTGCTTAGATCTGGAGTCCACAAGGTTGCGATGAATAGGACTAGCACATGTACTAGAAACGATCTCAAATCTTAACCAACAGAGGCTTGCTTAGATCTAGAGTCCAAGAGGTAGCGATGAATAGATCTAGCACATGTACAAGAAACGATCTCTAATCTAAAAAGATCTAGAGTCCATCCGATGGATGAAAATACCTAGCACGTTACTAAAACCACTCTAATATAAAAAGATCTAGAGTCCTTGAGGGGGTAGGCTAGGGACAGAGCCTTACATGTACCAGATCTTGTTCTATTTCCCGGGTTTCGGCACCATGTTACGGATCACAACACTACCACATGTTAAACAACAATTCGAAACAACAAATGCGTAATTCTCACCGTAAGTGCTTGATACTTTATTACAGCAAGTGTAGTGCATAGTAATAGTAGATTTCCCGCAAAGTGTGTAGACCTTGGCTCTGTCCCTTCCTCTTCTCTCTCTGTCGTCCGACTGTCCCCAATATATATATATATATATATATTATCTAGTCATGTGTTACCATAATCAATATTTTATCTAGTCTTGTGTTACCATAATCAATATTTTAGCGCTGAGAGGGAGAGAGAGAGAGAGAGAGAGAGAGAGAGAGAGAGAGAGAGAGAGAGAGAGAGAGAGAGAGAGAGAGAGAGAGAGAGAGAGAGAGAGAGAGAACAGTTTATGGCAGTGGCAATTTGAACTTTTAAAACGCTGACAGCATGGGGTGGGGGTGGGGGAGGTCGTCAATATATCATCATCATCATCATCATCATCATCATCATCATCATCATCATCATCATCATCATCATCATCATCATCATCATCATCATTATCATCAATGCTTTCCACCCCTGGCAGGGTATAGGCCTCATACAACAAGCTCCTTCCATTTATTTCTGTCCAGGGCCATCCTTGCAAGTTCATAAATGGTCAATAGCTTTGTTTTAAATGCTGTCTGGTGTTTAGATGGGTTTTGTTATTGTTGCTTTTGTTTGGGAGGGGGGTGTTTTTTGTTGTGTTTTTTTTAGGGGGGGGGGGGGATTAATGTGTTCTTACACCCCATTGACACCATATTAGGTTTACTTTCGCCTAAGAAGCTTGGTAGTAGTTTCAAATAGTCTCAAAGCTTCTAACTACAAGCAGCTAATTCTTAAGAAACTTACATTGGCTTATTTATAAGTATAAGACCTTCATTTGTATGGGGCACGTAAGTTTTTCTTTTTCTTCAGCAAAGTCTTACACATGTCACATATTATGACTGGATTAACTTTCCTGAGCAAGTATACCCGCAGACGTATGTGAAAACATTTTCAAACTGCATCAGGCCCTCTACTTTCAGAGACTTTGTGATGGGATTAGTCGCTGGTGGCTGCTCATAAGCCCCTGTTACACGCAACGATAAATTTTGCAAAAATTGAACGATCTATCCATCATGAGACTAATCGTCATGTGTAAACGCAATATTGTACAAAGTTTGGACAAGGAAGTTGTTACAGTCCCGTAGTGCAACCCACTCGGGGACTGTGCAGTCCCCTAGCGCTTCTTTTGGCACTAGGGGGACTGCAAAGAAACAACCTTTCATATTCGAAATCAACGTCTCAAACTAAGCAAAGCTGCTTGCGGAGAACCTGATCTGATGCGTTATTATGTGCAATTTTATTATTCAGTTGATCGTCAATGGTGAAGTTGTTTATCAAGGTCACACGGTGCGTTGCGCGTCTGCAGTCAAGTCAATGACTAGGAATATTCCTGATCAAAAGAAAAATGGACGATTGATTGTAAAAACAGACTACACAGGTCGATAAAACGGACACTTCTCGCATACGACGAATCTGACACAATGTATCGTCGCGCAACGATAAATTGTACAAAAACTGTACGATCTATCGATCATGAGACAAATCGTAGGGTGTGACCACAAAATTGTACAAAGTTTGGACGATGGTTTGGAGACTCGGTCGAGAAATCAAGCGCTGTTTGATATTTTCCAGAGATATCTATGAGACTGCTTTTTCCTCTGATAGCTGCAAAACGATTTTCAACACTGTCCTGATTCAGATTGCTGGTGAGTAAAAACTTATCATTACCTGTAATAGTTTCCTCTATCAGAATGAAAAGGGCTTGAGTTTTGAATCCAACCTTAATGCAAGTCAGGGTCTCTGCTGTTTTTCTGTTGCTTTTTAAAGGGTTTTTCCGTTTCTTGTGTGTGTGTGGGGGGGGGGGGGGGTTGGAGTGAGTTTGGGGCTAGGCGGTCATAAAACAGGCCACCTGCGCCCGACTGACCTAGATTCCTTGTGGGCTGGCACACCTGTATAGTAGGCCCACTACCTAGTAAATTAGTAGTAGTGATAAGCCTACGAAGCGTGCGGCGGGCAGTTTGAATTGCTGTTTGCTCATGCTTTGACATTGGATTATTTCTGCCTAATGGAGATTGCTTTTCAGGTCATCTGGATTATGTGAATATTTTCTCCATCATTGTGTGCGTGGAGGAACAGAAGTGATGACTAATTAATTAATTAATTAAGATTGACCAACAGTTTTGAGATCGCAAATTTGAAGTGCTGTTTGGCTGTACTGTAGGCCTACTGTTCATTTTCAGTCATTCTTCATCGCCATCGTACTGAATGCCTTCGATTCTTTCGGTTGAGGCCTATAGAAGATTTTTTGTCAAATCGTCTGGATTGTGTGAATATCAAATATCTCTTCCATCAGTGGACCGTGTTGCCATCGATCTGACAGACAAGGGTGAGGCAGCCTTCACAACTCTTTTGAATTGGGCACAGCTTGCTGAAACAATGAAACCATCAGAAAGAGTAAGAATGCACTGCCTCACAAAAGACACATCAGAAGCTCTTTCTTGGACATGCAAATGCCTTGCTGCCATGCGCAAATACCTACTGCAAACGCACGAGCCATACAGACATCAGTTTGTCTAGGCTTCTTCCAACAGGATGACTTAGATAGAGGCATTTTGGACATTTCCGACGATCTGCGGAAAATAATTACTTTTTGACAGTCCAGGAAGTGATGCACACAAATACCATTGATTAAGCAAGGATTATGCTTAAGACAGAGGTTGCACTGAACTATAGCATCAGTCATCATGACTGTGACCTGTGTGAGAAGGACCTTTCAGGCAGTGACCTGCTACTCATTTACGACATGGTAGAGGGAAAAATCTCTGTGACTGAAAAGCTGGCATTTTTCCACATTTCTGGCTACATTGCTTTCAAACAAAGTGAGCTTGCCGGCAACCCCTCAACCCCTCAGACAGTACAGCAAATGTCAGAGCATATCTTGAGGAAATCAACCGTGGTGGTCTGACCTACCCATCGGACAAACTGTTCACACTCACTACTCTGTCATTATCTGTCAATTTGTCTCTTTCTGATTACTAGAAACCCTGTTGCTTTAATCTGTCTGTCTGTCTGTCTGTCTGTCTGTCTGTCTGTCTGTCTGTCTATCCACCCGTCTATTTCTGTGTGTGTCTTTTGGATGTGATGTCCATGTTTGTATGTCGGCGTGGGTGGTTGGCGGGTGCTCTTATATGGTTTGCTCCTTCTTTGTGACTTTGCTGTCGTTCTTTGTTCTCCTGTCTTCACTCTCTTTTGAATCAATTTCCCCCTGGCGCTGAAATGACCTCATTGTTTTTAAAGTGCCATAAAACTCTAACTCAACTCAAGTCAACTCTCTGTCTTTCCATCGTTTTTGTCTGTCTAGAATAATTTTTTACATCATGTCCGTTCGTTTGAACACAAAAACAGGAAGCTAAACCATTGAGAGAGAGAGAGAGAGAGAGAGAGAGAGAGAGAGAGAGAGAGAGAGAGAGCTGATCGCTGTTTCCAAGGGGGTGCCAGTTCGACCGGAAATGAGGCCTATTGTCCCGTCTCGGTATTCTTCAGTTATGGGTTGCATCTTCAATAGGGATCGAAGTCTTCAATAGTGAGAGTGGGGGATGACGATAACTCTAGAGTGGGGTGATTTTATCTCAACTGACCCCAGGCCAGGCGCTCTGTGGTTATACGAGATAGACACTGAGCCAGAAGGATCACTTGACGCCTAACCTTTAACCAGGTCACACTCACTGCCCAGGCGTTGCGTTGTGATTGTAGTTTTATTCACGATAATACAGGATGAAACATTATATTTCTGTGCTTGATCTGTGATTCCATTTTTTTAAATGGATAATAATTAGAATTATCCATTTTATATGAATATACCTTCTTTTCTTGTCGGATATCTTTAAGTACTTTAATGCCAGTCCATGGGGTAAAGTTTAAACTTGTCTTTCCAATGCGTTTTTTAAATATAAACGACGTATTATTTACGTAGACATAACGCGTATTATTCTGTCTCCATGTAAATATAAAGTAGCGAGAACAAACGCACACTTTTTCAGTGACCTTGTGATACTTTTCAGTATTTGAAAAAAAAACCCTGTTCATTACCATTGATTGCATTCTTGGCACTAGTTTCGAGATTCGAGAGTACAATTCTCTCAACAAATAACTCAGTCTTCTGGGTGAGATAGGCCGAAAAGAGTAGAATAGTTTTCTGAATCTGTCTGGTTAAATTGAGCAATCCACTGGGCAAAATCATACAGTTTCAGAGGACAAAGTTCTGATAGCTGAGTGAGTTTAGGAAGGCCAAGACCACACCAGAAAATGTTCCATGTCCCTGGGTCATGCAATGGGGCTCTATGCATTTGATGAATACTAAGGCACTCAGAAGTGGGAAAAGCAGAGAAGTCGTCGTTCGGAGCAGCGAGCAAACAGACTGAAAACTTCATATGTTACCATTAAGAGTAAGAGTGTTCGTGCAGTGCAGTGCGATCACAACGTGGACTATAATAATAGCATAATATAGATCTATGCTAATGACCAAGACACAAATTTTTACAAGCTAAGATAATTTTTTTTAAATAATAACATGTAATGAACCCCCCCCCCCCCCTCCCTCGAGGTGGTCTAGAAGTTAAGGTGTTCACCTCTCATTCACTAGGTCCCGGGTTCGAATCCGGAGAGAGACGGAAAATTTTCTTCTCTAAAATTAAAATGTTCTCCTTTCACTATCACATCCTTTCCTGCTTTCTAACAACGTTTTGTCATCTGCTTTCGACTCCACTTTCTGCCCCCACCCCTCACCTCCTTTGCCCCCTCCTCTAAGCTCTTGACTCTTTCTGCAGCCATTCTACTGGTACTCGTTGGCTCTTTTTTACTGCTGTCTTTCAGAAACACCTCAGATTTTATGGTAGGTAAGATCTACACCTAGCCTTCTTGGATAAATTCCCTACCAGCCGAAAATGTTTAATGTGCCATGCGCGCTCATATTATGACCTTATGCAGTTGCGAAAGCCGAACGAATTACCCCCCCCCCCCCCCACAAAAAAGAGAAATAAAAGAACCCCCAGTAACACAACTTGGTTCTTTCTCTCTCTCTCTCTCTCTCTCTCTCTCTCTCTCTCTCTCTCTCTCTCTCTCTCTCTCTCCCTCTCTCTCTCTCTCTCTCTCTCTCTCTCTCTCTCTCTCTCTCTCTCTCTCTCTCTCTCTCTCTACAACCCCACCCTTTTTTTAATCCCACCTAGTGCTCCCTGTTGGCTCATGTACTATTTTCTAGTTAGTATCATAATTAGACCTGTGCAATTTTTGTGTTTTTTGCAAGATAAGAAATAATGGTGGCCAACTCTTCATGATAATTATGGTTAAGAGAGGTTTTCAATATGATCTGAGCTCAGTAATGCCGAAGAATTGAGAGTCATGGCTTGTTCGTTAGTGAAATAAAAAGTAATTCTGACTGATTGAGTCCATTTTGTCCCTCCAAAATACATGTATAAGTAGCTAGCCAACTTGGAGAGGTATATGCATGCGTTATCTCTGTCCTTTAACGTATTCGGTGGTGGCGGTGAATCAGTGTCAAACACATGACTCAGTTCTGCAATCCCTGGTCTCTGTTTGCAGTTGACGGCGGTCGCAGGCGCGTGAAATCCTGGTTTGTCATCAGGCCAAGTACAAGAACTGGGCGAAGAATCGATTCCAGAACAAATTTCCGCCATTACTGCTACGGAAGAAAAGTCTCGATTCCTTTTTACATAACCAACGGTTACCAGTTACTTACTTTATATTCATTTAAATATTTTGGGATCTTTTTGTTTAGGATTTAGTTTTGAAAAACAAAGTTGATGCTTTGTAGAGTTTCAAAATCAAGGTTATCCTAAATCCTGAAGTTGTTCGGAGCCAAACAGGAAACCACCGAGAGAAATCACATTATTAGAAAGTAATTGGGTTTGGAGTCGATTCCTAGGAGTCCTATCTTTCAATAATCGGGAACCTAACCGCCCACCACTGCCAAATACACACACACACACACACACACACACACACACACACACACATATCACGGCTATAAAATGAGCGTTCCGTCTGCCGAGTAGCCAACTCCAACTTTCCAACCTAATGGGAATCCATAGAAACTTGGCACTGTGGCTGTCTCACTATAGTAGATCTACTGTTATATCACCTCTACCGTAAGCTGACAGAACGCATTTTAAAAAATCACGGAAGTTCCGAGACAAAGAGGATTTTTGTCATTCTTCTGAATTTTGAATTTTAATGCATTCAAAAGCTAGTAACAGTTTCAATTTGCTTCTTTCCCACACAAGTGGGGTTACTGATCAAGCTTTTGATTTAGCAAAGTAAAAGCGTTTATCGGCTTATGGGGGAGTCCATTCTAACTTAGTTTTAAATCTATTTGTTGTAAAAGCGGCTGGGAAATAACGTTTTCATTATGTATTATTATACTTGTATTTTTGCGCATTTTGCGGTCATTGAAAAATAAATATATTTTAATTCAAACACTACGGCAAGGGAGTTCATTTCTGGGGGTTTATCATGCACCTATAGTCTAGGCCTCAGACCAATGTATAAACCTAACAAGAGTCAATAACGCATTGAATGTTTATAAAATTGACCAGTTTCTCGTTGAGTTGACTGTAACGTGACGGTCGTTTTCCTTCCCAGGTCACAACAACACAGAAGCCCGCCGGTTTCTATTTATAGAGATTCACGACCCTGAGGACAAGGCACAAGAAGGAATTTAGAAACAACATTTGTGAGGTGTGTTGACAAATTGAGTTAGCTCGGAAGGTAGCCATATTATGGACACAGAAGATGGACATGAGTTGTTGCTGTTTTTTTAAAATAGGGTTTCATTAAATCTATTACATAAAATGATTTTTTTAAACATTTTTAATTTAAAGAAAATGACATCGGTTTAAGCGTAGACTTGATGTCATGTCTATTTTCGGCCAAAATTACCCTTGGTGGATAGCGAGAAGTAACTCATTTTGTCAGCACACCTCAAGTTTATTTACGACCACAGCCAACAGCTACTGGAAGCTGAGATGGAGTTGTCACTTCTGAGTTGGGCTTTGATCGTCCTGGTCCTTCTCCTGCTATTCTACGTCTACTATTCAACGAGGACACACGGGCTCTTCAAGAAAATGGGCGTGCCAGGCCCCACCCCCTGGCCCATCATTGGCACCTCCAACTCGGAGATAAAACTTGGTTTCACGAAATATCACCGGGAGGCATACGAGAAGTACGGGAGGGTATGTTGTATTGTATTGTGTTTTATTGTGTTGTGCCTCAGTGTGTTGTGTTGTGTTGTTAATGTATTGTATTGTGTTTTTATTGTGTTGTGTTGTATTGCGTTGTGTTGTATGGTGTTGTGTTGTATTGTGTTGTGTTGTGTTGTATTGTTAATGTGTTGTGTTTTTGTTGTGTTGTGTTGTGTTATGTTGTGTTGTATTGCGTTGTGTTGTATTGTGTTGTGTTGTGTTGTGTTGTGTTGTATTGTGTTGTGTTGTATTGTGTTGTGTTGTACTGTACTGTACTGTACTGTATTATATTGTATATTAAAATGTAGGTCTATTGTGTTGTGTTGTACACACGCACACGCACACACACACACACACACATACACACACACACACACACACACACACACACACACACACACTCACACACACACACACATATTATATATATATATATATATATATATATATATATATATATATATATATATATATATATATATATATATATATATACATACACACACTCATTTTTTATACTACACAATACAATACAATATAACACAACACAATACTCACACACCTACATACACAAATACTCACATGCACCAATACACACATTGCTCTATGCGCTTTACACTATATTATTACCCCAGCAGACCATAGAACACTCCGAAACATTCTCAGCTTCCCGGGAAGCATACAGTGCAAGCAGCTGATTAAGCGCTCAAACACTAACAAACTGACAAGATCTTTCGCTGTCTATAGCCGGGTACCCATTCCCACCTGGGTGAAGGGAGGAAAATTCGTGTAAAGTGCCTTTCCCAAGGACACAACGTCGGGTCCCTGACGGGATTCGAACCCACGACCTTACGGTTGCGAGTCCGAGAGCCTGAAATATATATACATAACATATATTATGTTTCTTCTCAAATCCTTAGGTCATGGCAGTTGGTCATATCCTTTTTCTCCCAAAAGAAGTCATTCATTGGTTAAAAAAATATATATAAAAATTTAATTAATAAATAGATTTAAAAGATATCAAAAACCGAATTAAGCGTTGAATAGGACATTGTATTTTGACAAAGTTTAAATAGAAAAACAATACATTCACGCTGTTGTTACAAACAAGAGAAGTAGGGGAAATATTGGTTGGTTGTGAGAAAAGCAATTCTTTTTTGGAATGTTTATGCCGTCGGTTTGTTATTTTTTATAAGGCAACCTTAAGGTTGGCTCTGTTTTTGGAGAGCCTTCTACTCCTATTTCACTTATTTTTTAAAAGCTGAATAAGAAACAGCTTGTAGAAGAGCAAAGAGGTGGAAGTGAGTGGGTGGTGGGGGGGTAGGTTTACCTTGAAAATCTTATGAAACTCATAATTAAATTTTGTTAGTGATATTTGTAAGCTGTGTAAATAAAAATGTTACGCTCTGAAAAGTTGTCACTTACTTTTGAGATAAAACTTCTTGTCCCAGAAAGTAGCTTCCACAATGGCACATTAAAATTTGGTTTAGGAAGCATAATACTGTTATGCATCTGGAGCACATCGTGTTTATACATATCCCTCTACCCTACCCTTTTTTCATGTTGAATTAGGCAATTGCCTTCAATAATTATGCTCATCTCTGTCTCGCCTCCCCCTCCCCCCTTCTGCCTCTTTTCCCCTCTTAGGTGTATGGCCTGTACAGAGGAAGACTACCAACTATGGTCATCTGCGACCTGGATGTGATCAGAGACATCTGTGTGAAAAACTTTGACCACTTTGTGAACCGGACAACGTTTGAGACAGAGGAGCCTTTTGCTCACGCCCTGACTCAAGTCAAAGGTACGACCTCACTTTAAAAACAAACAAACCAAACAACAACAAAACAACAACAACAACAACAACAACAACAACAAAAATAAAGCTTTTTTGTTATTGCCACGACTCAAGTCAAAGGTACAAACTCACCTTCTTGAAAACTTTTCTCTCAGGGCTATTACACTGTTTTAAAAGTAATTTTAAGTTCCAGGTTTTGCATTGTTATTGATACTGTCGCTGTGTTTGCGTCATTATGGACCGTTCACAAATAACGTCAGCTCAAGTTTGGCCAAAAAAGACGCCACCCACTCCCCCTTTGTCATCATCTGTCATCTTTCCCAGGACCCCCCCCCCCCCCCCAACTAGTTGACGTCAACCAAAATGTACATGTACATTTAGATAGAACCTGTTCTAATCTAGCTTCTAGCAGTTTGTGCTATGGAGAGATAACTGCTATTTTTATTTTTTAAGCCAAAATGTAATAATATGGTTCAATTTGACTGTCTTAATTTTAGACCAAGAAAATGTGGTCTATCATATTTTTTCTTCCTTTTTTTTCTTTTTTAAACTTTTCTCCCCCCCAACCTTTTAAAGCATCATGGTTGATGTCAGTTTTGTAGGGACCCCCCCCCCCCCCCCCCCATGTCAACTTTTATCAACTTTTCAACCCCCCCCCCCCTTTTCCCCTCTGAGCTGACGTCCAGGGGCGGCTAAAAAGTGGGCGTGCACAATTAAGCTATAGCAGGTTGAAGATAGTCAAGAACATAGTAAATGGATTGTCGCTTTGATTTCTAGAATTAAATCTATTTGTTAGCTAAGTATCAGTTTCTTCATCCTGCATTGGAACTGAACACTCAAGTAATAAATTTCACCACTCCGCTACGAAACCAATCAAAGGCACAACTCATAGGACTTAAATACGGTATGTCACGTTCATCTCTCTCAGGTTCACGGTCACAGAGTCGCTTAAAATAATGGCAAGACAATGAACCAATCACAATCCACTTGAGCACCCCATTGAATTGCTCCGGGGATCACATAATTTTGGCATAGAATAGTGTGCAGTCTATCGCGTTTATTTTTAGACTGACTACTGTGGGCTATGTTTCGTGGGTGCACATTTGAGATGTGCCGTCTTATTAATATAAATGTACCGCCAAACTCTCTACGAGTGTCGTCATCGTTCGGGTAATCCCAAATAGTGATTTATAGGCCAGGTTACCACAGTTGAATATCCTATTATGTTTAGTTAAAGCACGTGGACTTTGGCAGGGCATAGTAGATGTTTTATGGCGCTTTTGACACAGAAATGACAGTGAAGGCGCCATCGACGACCTTGTTTTGAAATAATATTTGGCAAGTGTTTGTTTCTAACTTCTTTTATTTTATGTTTGTGGATGCTTTTAGTAATAGAACATTTAAAAATGTTGGAGGGGCACTGCACGACCGTGCTCTGTGGACGAACCGCGCCTGCTGACGTCCTTTGTGAACGGTCCCTATTGCAGTTACAGTTGTGTGTATACATAATTATACATTATGTTGTTCTTACTGTTGGGGAAGTTGTTGTTCGTTCTCTTTAAGGAATTCGAATCGAGTGATTTCACTTTTATCAAATTATTACCAAACACTAGCTAACCCAAAATCCCGAGTTAACAATGCTGGATGATTTTCAGTTCAGTGGTCGTCGATGAAAAGATACACCTTTTGAAATTGGGAATCGTTTTTTAATAAATTATCTCACTTGTTAAGCATAAATTGTGTTATAATATGAGTATGTTCTTGATTACTTTCTCCCATTTTTCTCAAATCAATATGCTTCAAATTCTAGATGAACACTGGAAAAATATTCGAACTGTGGTGAGTCCAACGTTCAACACTGTCCGACTAAAACGCATGTTCACTCACATCGAGACTAACGGCAAGCTTCTGGTGAAATTCTTGGAGAGCAAACAAGAGAGAAATGAGCCGGTGGAGCTGAAGGAGGTCCTGTCTCACTATACCATGGATGTCATCGCCAGCACGGGCTTTGGCGTGCAGAACAACTCTCTAGAAGACCCCGACAGTCCTTTTGTGACGGAGGCCAAAAGACTCATGAGTGGCCCAAGTTTCTTGATCTTGTTAGTTTTCCTCTTGTCTTTCTTGAAGCCAATTTTGAAACTGTTCAAGATTAGTAAGCTTCCTCGTCAGTCTATCGAGTTTTTCCGCCGGTTTGTCGACGCGGCTGTAGAGAGTAGAAAGAGTGAGGCTGAAGAAGTTCAGTCCAGAAATGATTTTCTCCAGCTGCTGATGGAAGCAATGCATGACAAAGATGGAGAGGATGATAATATGACTCCAGAAGAATTAGCGGCCTTGAACTCCAGCGGTGTCAAACGAAAGCTTAACTACAAAGAAGTAGAGGTAACTTGATTTGTTTATTTTGTTTTTGTTTTTGTTTTGTTTGCTTTTTTCAGCTGTTGTTTTTTTTTTCTTTTGTTTTTGTGAAGTCTGATTACAATTACGGTACAATACTACAGCTTTATTGGATTTTGAGAAAACATTTTGCTGCCACATTTTACATCGTAACACAACTGGGTTTCTCTCTCTCTCTCTCTCTCTCTCTCTCTCTCTCTCTCTCTTATCTCTCTCTCTCTCTTCTCTCTCTCTCTTCTCTCTCTCTCTCTCTCTCTCTCTGACCTTCTCTTTCCCACTTCATTTCAATGACGGGACAGAAAAAAACACATAATGTGTTCCTTAAGTTACCCAAACTAAACACGTCACAGAATTTGCATAAAGCACTTATTTTCAAATGACTGCATTTAATAGGATTCTTAATATAATATGTCTTTCAAATGTTCTGATCATTTAAAGTTGAAATAAATTAATTGATACTGAAGTACGGTGTTTTCATTGTAAGAAAGTACAATGTATAGTCCAAATGTCCCGTCAGTTACTGTGGAAAATCCCTACTGCTGGTCTTCCTTGCACCTTTACTACCCTTTAGGCTCAGGCTCTCCTGTTCCTGTTTGCCGGCTACGAGACATCGGCAACCGCTTTGTCCTTCACCTTGTTCCTCCTGGCCTTGAACCCTGAGTGTCTGCAGAAAGCCCAGGAAGAGGTAGACCAAGTGTTGAAGGGGAAGTTCCCGGACTACAACAGCACCCAGTCCCTACATTATCTCGACATGTGTCTGAACGAAGGCATGCGGCTGTTCCCTCCAACTCCTCTACTTGAGCGTATGTGCAGTGGTGATATTGAACTGAGAGGCATTCGCATTCCTAAAGGAATGAGTGTTACATTTCCTGTGGTAAGTTCTGTTACTTTTTGGGAGGTAATTTTACCATGTTTTGTGCATTTTGTTATTCTTTTTGTACTCTTACCAACGTTTGCCTATTTCATTACTTTTATTGTAGTTTTGAGACTTTTTGTGTATTTTGTTATTTTTATTGTTGTTTTACCATTTGTCTATGATATAAATTGTTGTTGTTGTTTTTTTTATCTACGACATAATGCAGAGATCAGAATCGAGCACTGACTTTTTTAAAAATTTGTCATGAGCTTAATTTAAATAAATCAACAACAAAGTGAAAGAAAAAGATGCTGGTTTTTTTAATGTGAAAAGGGTTTTGTGTCAACCAAAAAAAGGCAGGTGTAGTCGCAAACGCTTCGTTCAAATCATGGCTGCTACCCCACAGCTAGATCAATATTATTTCTCACGTAGGCCTACCCTCTGACAATACTGATATGGCCCCAAAAAATGTTCCGAGAAAAAGATTTCCGGTGTTTTAAAAATGAGACTGCTAAATTGTGATGCAACGTGGTGGAATCAGGCTCTCGTCAATATTTGGGCATGTAGAGTTATTGGTATCATCTTAAAGCTTGTTCACTTTTCTTTACTTGAATGAAAAAAAATGTCCATTTATCTTAAATACAAGTCGAGATATTTGCGAATGAAGGAGGTGGGGGTCACCTGTTTTCAGAGGTGAAAATAGTGAGAAAATGGCCTCCAAAGTTTAGTTATTTCCTTAGTATAAGAGTCCGAGGTAACTGAAAATTTACATTTTTTCTGTCTTTAATCAACGTTTTTCAGAAAAATCCATACAGAAGAAATGAGTTCTTAAATGGGCATGAAAGGTGTTGAGCCAAAAAACAAAAATTTGATAAAAATTCACAAACCTGCGGAAAACTGCAAGTTTCTTCACTTTGATTATTTTGACGAGAGCATGATTCCACCACGCTGCCTCATAATTGTTGATCGTTTAAGTTAGCCTAGGCCTAGAACTCTGTGTGGACGAAACAAAGCATTTTGGAAAAATCGGGGAAAGCAGTTTGCGTGGATTTTTTAAAGTTAAGTCCTAGCCACATGGATGCTGTGAACGCCTGCAAAGTTTCAAAGGTGTGGGTTAGGTAATAAGGGAGAAGTTAGAGCACAAAGCCTCCCAAGTCCACTTTTATATACAGTGTATAGATAACATCCTGTAGCATGCATGGGCCTAAAGCTCGCACTTTTTAGTGGGTTTTAATTCATAATTATTTGTTTTAAAGATTAAACTTGTGATTTATAAAAACAAAACGTTTTTTTTAAACCAGCCTCTCTTTTAAGCAGGTGCCAAATTTACCCAACATGATTAATTTATTTTTTGTCAAAGCGAACTAAACAAACCTACAATTATAATCAAATTTGTCGGAGAATGAATTAAATCATTTTCTTTTTTTAAATTACGTTGAATTGAAAGAAACAAAGAAGTCAGAATTTGCTGGTCCTTTTTTGTTTTGTTTGTTCATTTCGTTATATTATGTTTATGTTGTAGTTTTTCAAGGGGTGGGGAGGGGGTGTATAAAGTTAACCGCTTAGTAGGACTATTACTATTACACGACAAATAGATTGGGGAAGAAAGGAAAGAGAATTGATTAACTCCCTTGTGTTTTCCAACCAGTGCGCCATTCACCATGATTCTGAACTGTGGCCTGAGCCCCATAAGTTTTTCCTCATACATGTATTTTGTTTCTTTAGTCTTTATCAATTTGTTTTGTTATGCATGTTATAGTGTTGTAGTGGGGTTGTTTGTTTGGGGGGGGGGGGTTGTAAATTGGGGGGGGGGGGGGTAAATATCGCGTATAGTTTTACTTTGGGGGAGCAAAGAATACACCTGCCGTGATACTATGTGTTGAAAGAGGTAACTAAAGGTGCATAGGTCTGGTCTCCAGAAAGAACCAGATTGCTGAGGGTCAACTACCCGACCCAGTGAAAACGGAACGTTACAGAAACAAGAACAAACACGGCTATTTATTTTTCAATCTTGGGAGAGAGAAGAGCTTCTGCATCAGCAGGAACAATGCAGAACAGTGGACAGATGTACAGAAAAATGGGAAGACATGGAGTAACATCAAGAGGCTAGCCATGGATAGGGGAAGGTGTAAAGTGTTTGTTTGTGGCCAATATCCCGATGCAGGGTGAGAAAGGCAAGGATGGTGATGATTACAATTATCAATTACGAGCTAAACAGGCGAAGGAAGAGACCAATGTACGTACATGACGTTACTGGTTAATCCCCTTGTGTTTTCCAACCAGAGCGCCATTCACCATGATCCAGAGCTGTGGCCAGAGCCAGAGAAGTTTATCCCGGAGAGATTCACCACGGAGAACAAGGCCAAGCGTCATCCCTACGCCCACCTGCCCTTTGGACAGGTACTGTTTATTATCCCATTGGGGGATCAGTTCGGTTTGGTTCGGTTTGGTAGGCGGTGGCTAGCCAGATTGAGGGCGCAAAGCGACCATCGTGTCATAAACCGAAGGGAGGCTCTCGTGGCCTAGAGGTTAAGGTGTTTGTCTCTCATTTAATAGGTCCCAAGTTGGAATCCGGATAGCAACGGAAAATTTTCTTCCTAAAATTGTCTCTTTTCACCTCCTTTCCTACTCTCTAACAATGTTATGTCATCTGCTTTCGCCTCCACTTTCTGCCCCCGCCCCCTCACCTCCTTTGCCCCCTCCCCTGGACTTCTGGCTCTTCCTGCAGGCTTTCTACTGCTACTCCCTGGCTCCTCACAGCTATCTTTCAGCCACACCCCTGATCTTATGGTAGGAAAGACCAACACCTAGTCTTCACGGACGAGGTTGCGTGTGCAAGTTGCGATCGTTGAAGATCATTTGGTGATCCAAAATCGATAAGAGTATGCTTTGGCCGCCACCCGCGCGAAAATCAACATTCCCTACCAACTGAAAATGTTTAATATGTCCCGCGCTCTCGTATGACCTTATGCAGTTACGAGCGCCGTAAAGCACTTACAAATAACAACAACAACAACAACAATAATAATAATAATGGATAGCATTTATATAGCGCATATCCACTTATGCTATGCTCTATGCGCTTAACATGATACATATAATGGATTTACAAATCAATTTCAAAGGTACATAGTGTTACATACTCATGCAAACACATATTCACTCACGCACGCACTACACACACATACATACTCACATACACACATACGTACATAATATGCACATACGCACACACAAACTCACAACGATCTACAGCTTGGATGCATTCTGTCTAAGCGAAATATGATGAAAATAGAAATGATTTTAGTTTCTTCTTAAAAATCTCTAGATTTTCTGCTTCTCTGATAGTTTTTGGAAGCCTATTCCAAACAAGTGGGGCAAAATATGAAAAAGAACGTTGGCCATATGACTTGTAATTTATTTTAGGCTTAACAAGGGTTGTTTTGTCACTTGATGATCTGAGCGTTCTATGAGGCACATAGGGTGTTAAAAGCTGTTTCAGATAGTCCGGTGATAAATCATTTAAGCACTTGTGTAGCAAGTTAAACAGATTTTATATATGATACGCTCTTTCACTATTATTAGACTATTATTAGCCTGTTATCATTGTATTATTATTATTGTAATAGTTATTAGATCTACTAATATTATTATTATTATTATTATTATTATTATTATTATTATTATTATTATTATTATTATTATTATTATCATTATTATCATTATTACTAACATTGTTATTATTAACCCCCCCCCCCCCCACCACCACCACCCCCACCCCCGCCCCCCTCTCCCAACAGGGTCCCCGCAACTGCGTCGGGAAGAGGTTGGCCCTGTTGGAGATGAAAGTTGCTTTGGCTGCCATCTTGCAGAAGCTGACTCCAGTACGCTGTGAAAAGACCGTGTACCCGGTGACATTCCTCCGTTTCCGCATGACGGCCAAAGACGGACTGTGGGTGAAGCTGGAGGCCCGCCGCTGATTGGCTTTGTTTCCTTTTTCTTATTCAGTTCGAAACGGCCAGAGACGACCACCCTTTGTTCAGGAGAGAGTGACAGTATTATACAGATAGGCAGATGACTGTCATAAAAATAATTAATTAATAAATGAAAAAAAAACCCACCTTAAAATCTGTTTTCCTCACCAGCAGTAGACATGTACTGGTATCTAGAATCAATTTAACTTAATTTAGGGTCCTTTTCTGTAGCTCATAACTCATAATCTGCAGTTAAACCCGTGCTTTCGGTGCGTGTCTGAATTACTGAATTTATTAATAAATATATTACATGAATGTATTTTCGTCACAATTCATTTTCAGACCTGGACTTTCTTGCACTTCTACATGTACGTAACTAAGGAAGCTAAGGTTTCGCAGCACTCATCATCATATTCTTCATTAGGTGTAACATAATAGTATGATGTTAAACATCATGTTAAAGAGAACTCGCGACATAACGTCCCATTTCTGTGGAGAGTAAAGTGAAGTCTCTCGAGAATGCGTGCAATCACTTGAGGTAGTATTGGGAATAACCAAAAAGCTTCTCAGCTCCTCTCAAAGTCCTTTGTGCACATTGCATCAATCTGTTCCAATGACGATTAACCCTCCTGGTTTATCCTGATATTGACACCTTCCGAGTTCTATTCTTCTGTCAACTGTCGTGTCTAACAGTCAGAGGAGGTGGCTCGAAAATTTAGCATAAGTAAGAGCTTAAATTGGCTCTCCATTCTCCAAACTGCTGTAGATATACTCAAGCTTACGGCATGGTCACTTTGCCCGGGGAATAGTTATCAAAAAGTTTGGGATAAAGTCATCTTTCAATAAAGGCTAGGTCAAGGTACATGTATCGATATCATTACCGGCAGCCTTTATTGAGTGTAGGAGTAGGAAGCCATAATATAGCTAAGTTTGTTTATTTTCTTTTTATAAAAGGATGGGCGTTTTAACAACTTTGTTGCAAGGGGGAATCCACTTTCTCCAAACCGGACTACATGTACTTCTTCATTACTTCCTCAAGTAGGCCCTCTCTCTGATGGGGTGCATAAAAAACAACAGGTACTGTATATATTATGTAGCTCATGTGGTACGCACAATGGGCTGGACCCGATTTTATTTGAAACTTTCATTCATAACAACGACAGACGCGTTACTAATTATCAACTAGGCTGAGGTTTAATTCGGAAACATAGATTGTATCTAGTATCTAGCAAAACAACTTTAAAGCAAAACAAAAAATACATCAATAATACATGCATAAAAGCATAATCTAATAATAGATTAAATTGTTTCTGGCATAACTAAAGAACAAACCAGATGAAACAGGTAACTACCAATAAGGTAAACATTGTTTGACAATTAAGAACATTGTGTCACGACGCGGTGAAATCATGCGTTCGTTAAATTTGGGGAATATGGGGTTATGGTGTCATCTCAAAGCTAATTCATATGTTTTGCTTTCAATGAAAAAATACCCATCTAACTTGAATAGAATTCAGCGATTGAAGGAGGTGAGTTCGCCTGGTTTCACTTTCAGTGGTAATATTAGCGAAAAAAAGGGCCGCCAAAGTTTGGTAACTTTAATAGTTAAACAGTCCTTAAAAACTGAAAAATGATATATTTTGAGCCTTTAATTTAATCGACGTTTTTCAGTAAAATTCACATGGAAATATGTTTTCGTATGGACAAAATAGCGGTTGAGTCAAAAAAAAAAAAAATACGATAAAACTTTCCTGACTTGCGGAAAAATACCGGTTTCTCCGATTTCGCTATTTTGACGAGCGCCTGATTTCACCACGATGTCTCAAGGTATGTCATTTATTAAGTTTAAGGTTTTTCATAGCCCTTATGGCTTAACACACCAGCTCATAACAAAGACGAAAAATTTTTGTTTTTATTACCCAAAAATTAACATACAGTTATGTCCTTCGCTAAAAATAAATACTTTTAAATTTTAATAACCACACACACACACACACACACACACACACACACACACACACACACACACACACAAACACACACACACACACACACACACACACACACACACACACACACATATATATATATATATATATATATATATATATATATATATATATATATATATATATCTAGCATCTGCGTTTTTGCCATTTTTTTGTCTTAAAGTTGCCAAAAGTTGCCTCAAAAAATGGCAAAAGTTGCCAAAAAAGTTGCCATTAATTTTCAAGCTTTCAACTCTCTGTGACGACGTATAATATGTTGACAGAGGTGGTAACTTCATCTCTAAAGCACCAGAATTTCTTGTGTTCTGTTTTATGCAACCAGAATATCATTTGTAGCCACACAGGATGCAAAACGTGAAAAATAAAGGTTTCAGAACAGGATGAAATCAAAATTTGTACAGCGCATAAACAACTACAAAAATTAACAAATAAAGACGTGTATTAACCTATCCGAAGATTAGCCGTTTTAACCATAAACGTGTGTAATTCAAGAAATACATGATATTACTTACATGTAAATTGTGGAATCACACACAAAGGGCCTGCCAGTGTCAGTATTCAGTTTTGGTAGAGACACGCTCTAGCATTTTAAAAAAATGTAAGGTGGGAACAAATTAAATAACATAAGCTATATAAACATCAAACACGGGGGCTCTCTTGGCCTACAGGTTAAGGTGTTCACCTCTCATTCAAAGGTCCCGGGTTCGAATCCAGGTAGCAACCGAAAACATTTTCTTCTCTAGAATTGTCTCCTTTCACCTCCTTTCCTGCTCTTTAACAATGTTCTGTCGCCTGCTTTCGTCTCCTCTTCCTGTCCCCACCCCCTCACTTCCTTTGTCCCCTCCTCTGAGCTCCCGACTCTTTCTGCAGCCTTTCTACAGCCACTCCCTGGCTCTTTCTTACTGCTGTCGTTCAGCCACACCCCTGATCTCTGGTAGGAAAGATCTACACCTAGCCTTCTCGGAAAATGGCGAAAAATCTCGGAGGTCCCGTGGTGTGCAAGTTGCGCACGTTAAAGATCCCTTGGTGGTCTAAATTCGATAAGAGTAGGTTCCGGCCGCCACTCGGGCAAAATTCAAATTTCCAACAAACTGAAAAAGTTTAACCTGTCCCACGCGCTCATATGACCTTATGCAGTTGCGAGCGCCGTAAAACACTTACCAACCCCCCCCCCCAACCCAAAAAAAAACCCCCATCAAAAACCGCAAGAAAGAACACATCAGATCAGAACAATAACAAGGAAATTAAAACACAATAAAGAGGGACAAATGAAAGGGAAGCAACAATACATCAATTATAGTATGTAGTAATGTACTTATTCTTCACATGAAATTTCATTGAAAATAACAAATCAACGTGGTGTCAACAAGTGAGAAAGAGACGAAGTGAAGAGGAAGTGAAAGTAAACTTTCTAGTTTTTCTTTCTTAAATATGAGGTTCGGTTTCTATATTTTGGGTTTTTTAAATATGTTTTCTTTGTTAGTTTCTCGATTTTTATTCCCCGGGGTTTGTTTTTCGATGTTTTATTCCCGAGCGGTGGTTGTTTTGTTTTTTTTATACAAAGATCACGGCCGCGATTCGCGGCCCGAAATTTGCCCCAAATTGTGGCCACGATTCGCGGGTCGCGGCCGCGACAAACGCAGATGCTACATGTATATTTTGGCCTATATTATCATCATCATCCGGTGCCTTGGCGACTGGCGTGGGCGACCATGGACCACCACTTCACCCTGTCCTTCGCTGCAGCAATGGTGTCTGTTGTTCTTGCTGCTCCCAACCATGTTGTCATCTTGTCCAGTATCTTTTCCCTCTGTCTGCCTCTGCCTCTCTTTCCATCAAACTTTCCTGTTGTGACAATATTCTCTAATGCTTCTTTCCGCATTGTGTATCCGAAGAAATTTGCCTGTCGTTTTCTTATATTTCGTGATAATTTGTTTTCTATAATTTGCTTCAACCAGGACTTCTTCGTTTGTTTTTCTAGCTGTCCATGGGATACGTAGCATGCGTCTTATGAACCACAACTCTGTCGCTACAATTGTTCTTTCCAGCTGTTTATTGATTGTCCACGCTTCGCACCCGTATAATAGGATTGGCTCGATGTAACTTTTCAGTACTCTTTTCCTCGTTTCCAGTGACAGATTGATGTTTGTTAGTATCTGTTTCATCTTGTGGAAGGTTGTTTTTGCTTGGCAAATGCGGCTTTTAATTTCGGTGTGACATCTACCATCTGATGATATAATGGTCCCCAAATATTTAAAATGTTGTACTTGCCTGAGGGTGGTATCGTTGACTTTGATATTGCATGTTGGGATTGGAGTTTTTCTGCTTATCACCATCGTTTCGGTTTTCTTGATGTTTAGGCTTAAGCCCATGTTGTCACTCTCTTGTACGATGACATTTAATAGATTCTGCAGGTGTTCTTCATTTTCTGCTATAAGGACTGTGCCATCTGCATATCTTAGATTGTTTATATTATGTCCCCCTATCGAGATACCAGGCATTTCTTCTATGTGCCTCATGATATTTTCACTATACAGGGAGAACAAGTCTGGAGAAAGTACACATTCCTGTCTGACTCCTCTTTTAATCTGTATATACTCGCTGATGTCATTTTCTATTCTCATTGCAGCAGTTTGATCCCAGTACATGTTTTTGATAATCCTTAAGTCTTTCCCGTCGATGTTAAGAACTTCCAGCATGTCGATGATCTTGTCGTGCCTAACTTTGTCGAATGCCTTGGTGTAGTCTATAAAACATAAATGAAGATCTTTCTGAACTTCTAGGGCACGTTCTATTGCTGTTCTACTGACATATATGGCATTTACAGTGCCTTTACCTTCAATAAATCCACACTGTTCTTGGGCTATTTCTGGGATAATTTTACTTCGTATTCTCATCATAATTATTCTGAGTAATATTTTTGTTATGTGGCTCATGAGGCTGATGGTACGATGCGTTTCACATTCGTTTGCATTAGATTTCTTTGGTAAAGCTATGAAGATAGATTTTGACAAGTCTGATGGAATATGTCCAGTGGCATATATATGTTGTTAAGAAGTTTTGTCAGCGTGGTGATTCCAAAGTCTTCTAAAGCTTTAATCATCTCTGTGGTAATGTTGTCCGGTCCTGCAGCTTTCCCATTCTTCATCTTTCGTAGTGCCTTGATAGCTTCTTCTTTCATGATTGGTGGTCCCTCGTTGTTATTTTCCACTCTTCTTTGTTCATCTCTTTAGTCATTGTACAGGTCACCGATATAGTCTGTCCAACGTTCTAGTATCTTGTCTTTGTCCATTATGATATTCCCAT